TTATTTTTAAATTTTTTCTATTTTCTGATCTCTTTTTTCTTTCTTTTTGTTTCCTTATTTTTTTGCTTTATTTATCTTTCTATTTCCTTATTTTCCTTTTTTCTTTCTATCACTTTTTTTCTCTCTTATTTTTTATTCTTTCTCTTTTATTTTCTTTCCTTCTTCAATTCTCTCTTTTCTTCCTTCTTTTTCCTTTTTGTTTCTGTCACTTTTTTATTTCTCTCTTACTTATATTTTATTCTTCTTCCTTATTTTCTTTTTTTGTTTCTATCACTTTTTTGTTTCTCTCTTACTTTTTTTCTTTCTCTTTTATTTTTTTCCTTCTTTAACTCTCTCTTTTCTTCCTTCTTTTAATTCTCTGTTTTCCTTCTTTTCTCCCTTATTTTTCTTACTATTTTTATTTTTATTCTATTTTTAATTTTAATTTTTTTTGTAATTTTTCTTTTCTTTTTCATTTTTAATCCTCTTTTTCTTTTATTTTGATTTTTTCTACTTTTTTCTAATTTTCATTTTGCTATTTTATTTTTGAATTTATCTTTGCGCTATTTATATTGGAGACTATATTTCAAAAGTTATTTTTGATAATTAGAAACTACTTGCGTTGGCGAATTAAATATGTTGGTTGCAAGTATTTACCTACGTCAATTAATAAATTGGGGACGCCATTAGGGGAACTTGATACCAAGAGAGTTGAAATTGGGATGGATTATGAATTAATGTAATGTATATTTGTCTTATAGAACTGTGCAATTTTGAAAGTTATTCGCGGAAGAAGTTTATTTTTAGAATTTTAATGAGGTATTCATTTAGTTAAGGTTATTTCCCTTAAGGAGTGAATAATGAATATAAAAATAATAATAATAATTAATTATAAAATAATGATAATAAATAATTGTATTAATCAATTATTTAATAATGAAATAAAACTTTTAACTACAAAGTAAAGTAAAAATAAAATAATAAATTAGTTTCTTAATTATTAATATTATTGTTATTTTTACTATTATTATTATTATTAATTAAGTAAATAATAAATAAATTATTATTATTATTATTATTATTATTTTTATTATTATTATTTTTATTACTATTAAAATTATTTTTTATGGACTCTAGGCGTGGGGGATCGAACCAGTGACCGTTAGTCTCACTCACTAATTCCCGTGCCTTAACGACTACGACCATCGTCAGTTATATTTTCTCTTATTGTTATTATTATCTTTTCTTTATTTAATATTTGAGCAATTTATAAAAAAGAAAATATTATTATTATTTTCTTATTTAATAATTGAGTAATAAATAGAATAAATTTTTTAATAATAATTCAAAATTAAATTTTTAAAAATTCTTTTTCCCTCTTTGCACATTTTTCTCCCAGGGAATTGAAAATTAGTTCTCAACAATTTCATCTGTTTAAATAAATTCCTTCGCATTTTGACTTTATCTTATTGTTTTCCTTCGCGTATATTGTATATAGATATATAGATATATGATAAATGAGCACATGAAGTCTCCATCGTTTTATCTCTATATCTTTTTTTCTATATGCTGTGTAAGTACTTGGAAAAATTTTTAGAGCGCGTAATCTGGCGTGGATACGTATAGTTTATACATAAGAGATTGCACTCAATCTATGCGAGGAAAGTGGATTTGTTAACGGAAAAAAGAATCCACCAGATTTCTCACGTTTCCGACTTTTCTAGATGAAAAAAAAAAGAAAAAAGAAAACAAGAAAAAGAACAAAAAATACAGAGGGAAGCAATATCGTGCTGGTTTTGTTTCCCCCTCTCTCTCGCGGAAAAAAGCCAAATGAAAACTCTAGGCACACTCAAATGAGTTTCCGCGTGAGAGCCATTGTTTTAATCTCTCTTTGTTTTTTTTTATTCTTTGCATCTACATTGCGCGACACAAATAATTTTCCAACGCGGATTTTTCGCGATTTTTTTTAAATGCCAACCTTTCAAAAATTCTGGTGAATAGAATGGGGAAAAATTTTCTCTACGAAAATTCAAATCGGCAATATCAATTCTTGTTCGCAAAAACATTAGTTTTTGCGAACAGGAATTGATATTGTCGATTTGAATTTTTGGAAATAACATTTTTTTTGGTAATGGGATTTTTTATTGAAAAATAATAAGAAGTGGAAAAGTGTGAGCAGACAAGAAAGTATTTTTTTTTCTACGAAACAAAAAGGAACTCGGAAATTTTACAATGTTAGGCAATCAATTTGCCCCTAATTTACTTAATTTTTATTAATTATTAAAATTAGTAGAATAATAATTATTTTAAAACTTTTAATTATTATTTATGACGAATAAATTATTTATTTATAACACAGTTTATAATTAACAAGGAGAAAAAAAAATTGCATAATTGGAAAAACGGAATAAAATAAAATTGCCACTTTTTCCGGTATTTTTGGATTTTCCTCGAGATGATAAATTATAGTGGCTGCTGCGGCGTTCGTTCACTCTTTTATAAATAGCAACCTTAGGCCTGGTGCATGTCTTGGGTGTGGCAAAACTCTTCTTGTCTTCTATCAGTGTGTCCCTTGTGAGCACGACAATTTTTGAAGAACGCCCAGACTTTTCTTATTGATTCCGATACGGAAGTCTGGCTCAACTTTTAGGGTTGAGTTTAAGTTCCACTGAGACTGAGATTAGTTGTCTAGATATCTCCCCATCACTCACAAAAAAAAGTCGTATATTATACATTTTCCTTCTTCTAGTTTTTTTCTTCTTTTTCAAAACAGTGACAGTCGTAAAATTAAAATGAATAAATTTATAGGTATTTGATTTAAATAGATAATTGTGTTTTAAATTGTCGAAATTATTAAAGGATTAAAAGAAAAAGTTACTTAAAGTTCAATGAAAAAAATAATTTATTTAGTGTTCAATGAAAATAAAATAGTTATTTGAAGTTCAATGAAAATAAAAAAAGTTATTCGAAGTTCAATGAAAATAAAAATGTTATTTAAAATTCAATAAAATTGAAAAATTAATTATTATTAAAAAATTAAAGCGAGAAAATTATATTTAAAATTATTTAATTTCTTGGTGCGAAGATTAGTAATTAAAATTTTTATTAGTTAATTTAAAAAAAGATACACACTTAAAATTTTTTAATAAAATTGAATTTTCGTAAAGTTTTTTTGAAAAACTGCAGAATAAGATTTTTAAAATGTTTTATTCTGTTGTTTCAAGATAATTGAATTTTTATACAAAAATAATTGAAAATTTTTAAAATAATTGAAATTTCTTTATATTCTATTAAAAATAATTAACTTCTTTTAAAGAATTTTATTTAAATTTTTCAAAATCAAGGGAAGTTAGTCACCGTAATTATAATTTTATTTTTAAAAATTTCTTCGCAATATATTCAATTATTTTTATAAATAGTAAAACTCATTGCAGAATTTCAATTATTTTTAATACAATTTTAATCAAATTCCTTGAAAAATGTAATTATTCTTAAAAATTTTATTAAAATTCGTCGAAAGAATTCAATTATTTCTAAAAACTGCAAAAAAATTCTTCTCAAGAATTCAATTATTTATACATAAATAGCAAAATTCTTCAGATTTACTAAATTCTTTTAAATATTATTTTTAAAAAATATTCTTGACAATAATTCAATTACTTTCACTAATAATAACATTTTTCATGGAAATTCAATTTTTAAAAAAAAATTTTAATAAAATTCTAAGCAAGAATTCAATTATTTTCATACATACTAAAACTCATCGAAGAATTTTAATTATTTTTAATACTGTTTTAAATTAATTAATTGGAAAATTCAATTATTTTCACAAATAAAGTTTTTCACAAGAATTCAATTATTTAAAATAAAATTTTCTTCATATTTATTATATTACAAAAAAAATGAATTATTTAAAACAATGTTTATAAAATTTTTATAAAAAATTCAATTATTTTCGAAAATAAAAAAAAATTTCTCACAAAAATTCAATACTTTTTAAACATTTAAATAAACTTTTTCGCAATAATTCAATTATTTTTATAAATTATAAAATTCTTCTGAAGAATTCAATTTTTTTTGAAAATTTTTAAATATTCTTTGCAACTATTCAAGTATATTTTATAAATAATAAAATTCACGGCATGATTTCAATTATTTTTAATACAATTTTACAGGAATTGTTCAAAAAATATAATTATTCTTAAACATTTTATTTCACTTTTTCAAAAATATCAATTATTTATTTCGAAGGAAATCAATTATTTTAAATACAATTTTAATTAATTTTTTTTTTAAATAATTCAATTATTCTTTTAGATTTTAATAAAATTCTTCCGAAGAATTCAATTATTTACATAAATAACAAAATTATTCCCGAAAATTCAATTCTTTTGAGGAATTTTAATATGTAAAATTCTTTGCAAAATTCAATTATTTTCATAAATAACAATATTCATCACAAAAATTCAATTATTTTAAAAAATTCTAATAAATTTGTTCGAAATAAGTAAATCAATTATTTTAAATATACAATTTTAATTCCATTTTTTTGAAATAACAAAATTATTCTCCAAAATTCAATTATTTTGAGGCATTTTAATCAAATTTTTTGCAGAAATTCAATTAGTATCAATACATTTTAATAAAATAAAATTATTCAAATTTTAAAAAATTGAAAAAATTCTTTTTTTAATTCAATTATTTTCCAAATTTTTAATTAAAATTATTAAAAAAAACATTATTTTTTAAAAAATTTAAAGAAACTTGTCAAAAGAATTTAATTATTTATAAAAACTCTAATAAAAAATTTAGAAGCTATTTGTAGATTTATTTATGTTCGAAATCAAATAAATTTTAATTTGATGAAAAAAAACCCAGAAATAACCGGGAATTTTGTTTAACAAAAATAGTAGACACTCCCAGACTAGTAATTAAATAATTTAAATTAAATAACTTTATTTTATTAATTCCATAATCAAATAATTTTATTTCTAAAAGAAAATATTTCATTTTTGTTGCAGATTTACGAAATAGGCAAAATTCCAATTGAGATGACAATTTAATTACAAGGTGAGTCATTTTTTTTTCATAAAGAAAATTTTCTTAAATAATACTTTTTTGAATTTGGTTTAAATTCTGTTTGAATTTTTTTGATTTTTTAAAATTTGTTTTGTTTTTTTTTAAATAGTTTTTTTTTTAATTTGTTTTTTTTTAAAATTTGTTTCTCTTTTTAATTTGTTTTGTTTTAACAATTTGTTCACATTTTTCTCCATATAATTTTTACAAGAGCGCCTCTCTAAACAATTGTGCTGTAAAAAAAAGTATGTCATTGTCAATCGGAAGTTTTATTGCACAATAAATCATTTGAATATGTAAACGCGTAAAGGGGGTAACACACCTCTAAAAATGTATATATAGCATATAGAGTTAAATTGATTGTGTAAAGTTAACTAATTCACATAAATGTTTTCAACATTAAATGTGACCTTGAATTTTGCCGTGACCGGAAAATCGTCCAAGCGTCGCAGGTGATTATTATATAGCCGATAACCGACGATTAACTCGGGAAAATTATCCCCGGTGCAGTGTATGTTCATATCATATATATATATATATTGTATAAAACTTGAGGTATATATTATCGATAATCGGTTCTCTCTTATCGAGACTAAAGGTTTCTTCACTGTCGTGTCACAATTTTATTTTTTATGGCACACTCTTTGGTTCTTAGCCAAAAGTTTGATAAAAAAAAAACCGTTTAAAAGACTTTTCTCTTTCAATTTAAGTGGAACGGAAAATGTTTGATAAAAATTTATCTTTAGTTTTATTGAAGTTCATTAGCTCAGTAATTTAGTGAAGTGATTCATTAATTTAGATTTTTCATTATTGTTGCAATTTATGCTTTGAATTAGAATAAGTTGTCCTGTAATTTAAATTAGTATTTATTTTAACTGGAATTTATTTTAATTAGTAATTATTCCATTTAGGGTTTATTTTAATTAATAATTATTCAAATTAGTATTTTTTTAATTAGTATTCCTTTCAATTAGTAATTATTCAAATTCTTATTTATTTTAATTAGTATTTGTTTCAATTAGTATTTATTTTAATTTAACTGGTATTTATTTTAATTAGTAATTTTTCAAATTAGTATTTATTTTAATTAGCATTCATTTCAATTAGTAATTATTCAAATTACTATGAATTGTAATTAATATTCAAATTAGTATTTATTTTAATTGGTTTTTATTTCGGTCTTTATTCCAATTAGTAGTTTTATTATTTATTTGTTTGTTTATTTATTTGTTTGTTTATTTATTTATTATTAAATCAGTATTAGTATGCAATTAGAAATTATTCAAATTGGTATTTATCTAAATTAGTAATTATTTAAATAAGTAAAAATTTATATACTAATTTATAGCATAAAATTTTATTAGGTCTTCATTCATTAGTTTTCAATTTTTACTCAAGTTTCAATGCGAGCATTTACTTATTTATTTATTTATTTTTACTTTACTTTTTAGCATTAAAACTTCATTTCTAAATGAATTGAATTTGAAGGTAATCGAAATTTATATTTCACATAAAATCGGTTTCGTTCTCCGCGATAAAAAATTGCTGTAGCGCTCACATTTATCGATATCTCTATCTTAACGATATGTAGTCGGTGTTGTATAATCTCTGTTTACCCAAAGTAATTGCTTGTCATGTCATGCGTTTTAAAATTTACCTCCAAATGCGTGTAGCAAAATTAAATAACAAAATTACGTGGCCTAAGGGATTTATATAGATATATACATTTTGCTATCTTGCGCCATAAATATAGACAACATTTGAAAAAAAAAAGTTGTTCTGACGACTGAGAGTCAAAAATCAATAAATTAGCTGCTAATTGTCTAATTTTCTTGAGAGTATGATTTTAATTCATGGGGAAAAATAGTAAATTGAATATTTATCAAACTTGGGTAAATTTTATTTAAGACGAATGTGAGTTGTTACATAAAAAATTGTATCAAATTGTTACTGAAATTTTCATCGAACTGGTAGTAAATTGAATCAAATTGGTACCAAAGTTAGTATTCAACTGGTGTTTTCACAGAAACTCAATTCTTTTTAAACATTTTAATAAAATTTTTCGCAATAATTCAATTATTTTTGTAAATAATAAAATTCTTCTGAGGAATTAAATTATTTTTGAAAATTTTAATAAAATTCTTAGCAGCTATTCAATTATTTTCATAAATAATAAATTTCATCGCAGGATTTCAATTATTTTAAATACAACTTTAATTAAATTTTTTGAAATAATTCAATTATTCTTTTAGATTTTAATAAAATTGTTCCCAAAAATCCAATTATTTACATAAATAATTTTTCGAAAGAATTCAATTATGTCGATTAATAACAAAATTATTCTCGAAAATTCAATTATTTTGAGGCATTTTAATAAAATTCTTTGCAAAATTCAATTATTTTCATAAATAACAATAATAATCATAAAAATTCAATTATTTTTAAAAGTAATAAATTTCTTCTTGGAAATTCAATTATTTTCAAAAATTCTAATAAAATCGTTCGCAAGAATTCAATTATTCTCATAAATATTAAAAATTTCTCAGGTATTCAATTATTTAAATTAGAATTTACATAAAATTAGTCGAAAAAAATCAATTTTTTAAAATTTTTTATAAAATTATTATTAAGAATTAAATTATTTGTATAAATATTGAAATTCTTTCATGAATAATAAAATTTGTTACAGTAAATCAATTTATTTAGCAAGATAAGAAAGAAGTAAATATTTTTTTATGAAAATTAGGAAAAAGTTAGGAAAGTAAAATATAGAATGAAATTTTTGTCAGTTTTGTGAAGTGTCTAAAACAAGTTTTTTTGGTCGTCAAGTTTGATCATTCGATAGCTACTTTTTTATTACTTTTTTTAGTTTAAAAACTACTTTTTGCTACTTTTCTAAAATTAATTATCGAATGCGAAATCTGTACAAAAATTTGAATCAAACTGATACTAAAATTAGGATGAATCTGGTACCAAATTGAAGCAAACTGGTACCAAGTTGGAATAAACAGATACAGACATTTGGATCAAACTGGTACCAACTTATAACAAATTGATACCAAAATTTAAATCAAAATGGTACCAAATTGTAACCAATTATTATCGCATAATTTGCATCAATCTGATACTAAATTGTAATATATACTGGTACCAATGTTTGAATCTAATTGATAACAAATTGATACCGAAGTTCGAATTAAGATGGTACCAAATTGGAACAAATTAATACCTAAATTTTGTATTAAAGTGGTAATTAAATCAAAATTATTACCGAAATTTGAACCAGATTGAATCAAATTACTACCGAAATTTAGACCAAATTACTAATGATTTAAATAAAGAAATTTTGACCAAATTTTTTGGGCAATGAATTGAGAACTGAAATTCAGAACAAAACTAGTTGATTTGAGATAAAGCCGCGCGAGGACATCTGGACAAATGCATAAACTTTGGGGAGAGTGACATGGATTTGTTGCACACACTCGACGACGCGACGTTTGCGCGAGAGTAATCCTCATCTCTCTCTCTTCTCGCGGCACAACCAGCTGTGCCAAGGTCAAGGCGAAACGGGTTGCGAGGGTGCAATCGATGCAAGCTGCAAGCAAAACCACCCTCTCCATGTAACCATGGTTACCATCTCGTGACCCATTGCAAAAGATATGCCATCTGTTCCATGAAAACAGTAGCTCAATTGACCCGCTCGATCCAGGTCCAAGTGAATGTATCCTGGATCAGCTGATTGCCTTCCCTTGACCCTTTACCATCATTATTATTGCTCCTTATCTCAACTGATTCTATTATGTCGAGGGGGATTAGGAAAGGCTCTTTGTAGATTATATCCCTCGTTTTATATTTTTTTTCTATTTTCTATTGTTCTATTTTTTATATTCTTTTTTCTGTTTCCAATCTTTGCATTTTTACTACTTTCAATTTCTTTCTTTTTTCTACTTTTTTTCTTTTTTTCTATTTCCGATTTTTCATTTTTACTACTTTCAATTTCTTTCTTTTTCTACTTTCTTTCTACTTTTTTTCTAAATATTTTTTTTCTATTTCCGATTTTTCCATTTTTACTAGCTTCAATTTCTTTCTTTTTTCTACTTTCTACTTTTTTTCTTTTTTTTCTACATATTTTTTTCTATTTCCGATTTTTCCATTTTTTACTATAGTTTCAATTTCTTTCGTTTTTCTACTTTCTACTTTTTTAATTTTTTTCTAAATATTTTTTTCTATTTCCGATTTTTTCATTTTTAATAGTTTCAACTTCTTTCTTTTTTTCTACGTTCTTTCTACTTTTTTTTTCCTTTTTTTCTAAATATTTTTTTCTATTTCCGATTTTCCTATTTTATTTATTTATTTACACGGGCCGTTATTTATTGAAACTTTTATTAGTTTCAATTTCTTTCTTTTTTCTACTTTCTTTCTCCATTTTTTCTATATATTTTTTTCTATTTCCAATTTTTCCTTTCTCAGGTACTAAAGCAACAATTCGCGCGCTAAAGCGCGCGGTTAACTTTTTACTGTCTTTTTTAAATAATATTAGCAATTTAAAAAATAATAGAATTTAAAAATTTTCTAATTTAAATTTTTGTGGAAACACTAAAAAAAATTTAATTTTGGAGAAATTAAAAATAATTGCAGAAATTCAATTATTTAAAAAAAAAAAAAAATTCAACTATGTTCAAAATCTGAAAATAATTATTCTCTTAAAAATTCCAATTATCTTTATAAATAACAAAATTCTTCGACTCGGAGCAATCGATTTCTTAATGTTTTATATCAATACTTTTATAAGTTGTTTAATTTAATAAAGGTTTGAATTTGAAATTTTTGAATATCTAAAACAAAATAATAATTTTGTTAAAAAAATTGTGATTCATAAAGAAAAATAATGAAAAATAAATAAATTTTCTATTTCTTAATCACAGTTGTTTAACAATTTTCTAATTTTGTTTAGTAGTAAAGAACAAAAATAATTTCAATAATTTGACTAAACATAATATTTAACAAAATTTTAGTCTTTTAATGAAAAGAACTGAAAAAAATTCTGATGATTTCAATTTGTCATTACAATTTTGAATTAATTATAATATTATTATTTCTACTTTTCTGCTTTTTTTCTAAATATTTTTTTCTATTTCCAATTTTTCTATTTTATTTATTTATATTTTTGTACTTCTGTTTCTATTTTCAGTTTTTGTCTTTTTCTTTCTATTTTTTTTCTTTTCTTTCTCTTTTTTGTTTCCTTCTTCCCTTATTAAAATTTATTAATTACTCTAAAATTAATAATTTTTTTGAAAAATTAAAATTTTAAAAATTATTAATTACACTAAATTAATTACACTAAATTTATTTTTTTGAAAAATCAAAAATTTAAAAATGCATAGGTATTATTTTAGAACAGGGAAAAGCAAACAACTTTTTTATCTTTTCTTTTCCTTTGCCCCTTATTATAATTTATTAATTATTAATTAATCCAATTATTTAGTTAGTTTATTATTCCATAGATTATAATACCGTTTGGAGGAATTTTTAAGGCTTTTGATAAAGAGAAGTTAATATTTTTTTCAATTCACTAAAAATGAAATTGTCTAAAAATTGAAATTCGCGAAAACGCTTTTTTTATTATTCATATGAATTGCATAGTAAAAATCTCGACAGTTTTATAATGCGATTGAGCTTGAATATAATGTGTCTCTTCACCTTGACACTCGCCTCATTATTTACTTTGATTTTTCCCCCTTTGAATTTATAGTTTCATCTCATTTCTAATTCTTGCTTTTGTATTCCGATACTTATAGTTTTTTGCCAAATGAATATTTTATCCGCTCATGATAATGTTTTTTTATTTTATTTCTATTTTCTTTTATCTTTGTTTTTAACATTTTAATTTATTTTATTCACTTTATTTATTAAATTTATTTTATTTACTTTATTTATTAAATTTATTTTATTTACTTCATTTATTAAATTTATTCTATTTACTTTAGTTAATTGTTTCATTTTATTTAATTATTTCATTTTTTTTTATTTATTTGATTTTCTCTCGACTCGTTATTTACTTCGATTTTTTCCTTTTTGTCCTTTTATTTTTTGATTTATTTATTTTATTTGTTTTATTTGATTTTCTCTCGTCTCATTATTTACTTTAATTTTTTCTTTTTTGTACTTTTAATTTTTGATTTATTGTCTTTTTGTTTTATTTATTTATTTTATGCATTTAGTTTATTTATTTTATTTCACCGATTTTTTCTGATCTAATTTGATTTTCTCTCGCCTCATTATTTACATTGTTTTTTACTCCTTTGTATTTTTATGTTTTTAATTTATTTATTTAGTTTATTCATTCATTTATATTATTGTTTACCAAATTTTCTCTAATAGTCTTTAAGTCCAAATTACTAAGAAACTAAAATTTATTTTGCAAATTTTTAGTAAACCTGGTTTAAATAGAAAATTAGAAGCAAAAAAAGAATAAATTGATAAAAATGAATAAAAAACAGATAAATAGACGAAAATAAAAGTAAATAAATGGAAAGAAATAAAAATTTAAAGAAGAAAAATGAATAAAACAAATAAATGAAATAAATAAACTAACATTAAAGAAAATTACTTTCCGGAAGTTGCAAAGCAGCTAAAGGCAAAAATTCCAGACAATTATAAATAAATGAAGTAGAAAAATTTTCTAAATTCATTTCCGTGTTTTTGGTAAAATCTTCTTCAATTAAAATATAAAAATAGAAGTTATCCGAATAATAAGCAAATTTTTTATGGGAGTAAAAAGATGAATTTTTAATTATAGAGCCAAATTTCTCAGTAGAAATCAAAAATTCATAATTTTCCAATGTCCCCCTAAATTTGAGAAATAATTTTCCCTTCAACCCTTTTTCGTTTCCCCTCACATCATCTCGCGACTGAAAAGTTTCATCTCATCCCCTCCTCCCTTTTTTTAGTTCTTGTTTTCCGATCTGGCGCACTTGGCCAGAAACCACGACTGCATCCTCCAGTAGTCTGAATTGCATCTTTCGAGGAGAAACGTGAGAGTGGAATTTCTAAGGTCAGGGTGTTTGGATCGATAAGCACCAAGTGGTTTTCGACAAGATGTTTTCCATTGACATTTTCTCATTGTCACGTCGTCGTCGCGTCGCGGGAATTTTTTCAAGTGCACTTGTCTCGCTGTGATAGGGATTAATTTTCGAGCTATAGAATTGTATACAGAAAAAAAAGAAGAGAGAGTGGGGGAATTATGGAAGAATGGGACCAAAAGCAGGAAAACGGGGGTTGGAAGAATGAGGGGAGCTCGTCACTTTTCGCTGTCTGGATAAGGAGAATTATTAGAGAGTCATATTTTGGAATATGGATATTCGAAATGTTTCAGACAAGTGGAATGACGACTGCTACCAGTGGAGGAGGTGGTGCCAGTGGAGGTGGCGTTGGCGGTGCACTAAGTCTCATGGGATGCGTTCGTGAAGCGTCCCCCACTCCAGTTGATCAGCATCCGCTGCGACTTAGAAATTTCCAGCACAGCGTTGACGCATTACCAAAAGGTTAGTTTGTTTTTATTATTTTTTTACTTCTTCTAGAAGAAACTTATTCTTTTCTGGCACTACAGTTGATGATTAAAAAAAAAAAAAAAGTTGACGATTCTTTTGGTACTTTTTTTAATTTGCATTTTATTGTAATAAATGCGAAGCGAGCCTTTTATTATTTAGAAACAAAAAATTATCATTGCAATTGATATTAAAACAAAAAAAAAGCAACAAAAATAAGAAAACAGCTGCCAAGTTTTATCACTTGTTTTGTAACATTTGATTTTTGGTAACTTTACTTTCTTTTTCTTTCCATAATAAATAACATAAAAATGTCTTCCTTTACCTAATTTGCATATCTATTCTTTTCATATAAGAAATTATGTTGTATATTAGAAAAAAATTAATTGTTACAGCTAAATAAATATTGAATAACGATTTTCAGGAATTACTGGATAATCATATTTAAAAAATAAAATTTTAAAAAAATTTTTAAAAAAACCTTTTTTTTTAAATAAAAAAAATATGTTTAAATTTAAATAAATATTTAAATTTTAAATTACACTATTTTCCATTTTAGAATAGTAAAGTAATGATTTTTTTAATATTAATGTAATAATCAACTATTAGAATAGTCATTTTAGAAAATATTTAATACAAGTACAAAAGAAAGTCTTGTCGCACAAGAATTGATTTTTAAATTTCCTTGACACTAGGAAAATTGTCTTGCCAAAAAGTTTTGGCAATATATACAAATAATAAATTGTCATTTTTATAACAAAAATTTTTAACAAAAAATTACTGATGAAAAATTTAGAAACTTACTTTGAGTTACTATTTCATTTGCATATTCTCCCAATAAGAGTTTAAGAAAATTTAATCTCTTATTTTAAACAAAAAAAATGTTAATGACCTCCGGCATTGTTAGAGAATTTGTTTTGAAATTGTTTTGTTTACCTAGAAATTTATATTCGAAATTTATTCCAAAAAGAGAATTATCCAAAATGATTATTGATTATTATTGTTTTATTAATTTCTATTAATTTATTATTAACTTTTAGTAATTACTAATTTATTTTTCTATATTTATTTAAAATTTTTTTTTTCATTTATATATTTTGGTAGGTGGTCACTTTTTCTAAAAAATATATTTTCTAATCCTTTTTATCTAAAAAAAAGCGATTTCTAAGAAAATCTCTTTTCTAAAAAGAGTTTTTCTAACAAGTTTTGATTTCTAAAAAAGTTTTTCTAAAAAGTTATGATTTCTACTATTTATTTTCCTGAAATTTGTGGAATTCCATATTTAGAAATTCACCTTTATTAAAAAAAAAAGTTTTAGAAAATATATTTTAGAAAAACTGTACCCCAAACCATATATTTTACTTAATTTCTCATTTCTTAAATTAATAATTATTATTAAATATTTTATTAAATTATTATTAATATTACTTCTATATTATTAATAATTCTAATAATTGTCAAAAAATATCAAAAATATTCTAAGTCAAATAATAATTTAAAAATAAAATCGTATTTAGAAACAAAAATATTTTTTAATTAAAAATAGCGAAACTACTTGGTTTTTTTATAAAATTCAAAAAATTTAAAAATAAAATCGTATTTAGAAACAAAAATATTTTTTAATTAAAAATAGCGAAACTACTTGGTTTCTTTTATAAAATTAAAAAAAAGTTAAAAGAATTAAATTTAATTTTAATTAGAACAATTTTTTTTCGTAAAATTTTATTCGAAAATTACTGAAGTTTCAGAAAATCAATACTTTTGATATTTAGTTGACCTTTTAACAATTCAAAGTTAGAGAAAGAAAAGTTAATCCTCTATTTGTAAACAAAGAGTTCAATGACCCTCGGCATTCTTAGAGAAGTTATTTTCTTTTCATCCTTGTCTTTCTTTTTCTCGACGACAATAAAAGTATGAAAGTAAAATTGAGCCCTTTTCCCCTTCTCTTCTCTTCATGGATAGATTTCGCCTTCTGTCTCAGTGAGTTAATTATTACATTATTTTTTTTTACTTTTATTTTATTATTTTTTGTTACATTTTTGCAAAAAAATTTCAGTTTCTCTTTTGAGATTGGAAATCATTTTTATGAAAGGACTTTTCTTTCTATAAAAATAAATTTTCATTTTTGTTAACTTTTATATATTGAATTTTTTCTCTAATAGTAAAATTAAAAACATTTGTGAATTTAAAGATTGAGTAGATTTTTTTGTTTAATGATGTTGATAAATCGAATTTTCAGTGAATAACAATTTTTATTGTACTCGCTATCGTAATTTGTTACGTATGGCAATAAAATTCTTTCAAGTATTTTTTTCTTTTGCGCATTTTGTTTATACAATACGAATCAAAAGATGTCGAATACAAAACTTAAATTTTTAGTTATTACTTTAAAATAAATTCAATAATTAATAATCATTAACCAATTTTTAGTAAACCAAACCAATTGTTAGTGAAGTAATTCAAAATTCATAATTATCAATTATTCGTATAATGATTTTAATTATTAATAATTATTATTATTTTATATTAATATTTTATGTTATTTAATATTTAATATCAATATTTCAAAATTTAATATTTGATAATTAGTTTCGATTCGCTTCATTTCGTTTGTGAGAGAATTTTCATGCCATCTAGGCGAGAATTTAAACAACTTTTAGGCGCGAAATTCAAAAAATAACAATTTTAATTAATAATAATATATTATTAATTTTAATATTAATTAAACATTTATTTTAATATTAATTTAACATTTATTTAATATAAATCCCAGGGGAAAAGTTCTATACAGTTTTACTAGAATTAGTGATATTTACCTATTTATTATAAATTAGTTATATACCTAATAAATATTAGTAACACTTGCCAATTATTAAGAATTAATATTCAACCAAAATTATTAGTTTTAATTATTAATAAGTTATTATTGAATAATTATAATTATTAATAAGTTATTACTGAATAATTATAATTATTAAATAGTAATAGTAATAATTATTAATTAGTTAGAATTTTTAAATAATTTTTAATTAATTTGCTAAATAGTCAGAATTAGTATTCAGTTAATTACTTTAAATATCGAAAAAAGTAATAATATATTTATTTATATACAAGAAAAATGTGTCGAGATAAAAAATTCATCATTTCACGATAACTACAAGAATGTTCCACATTTCGTTTTTCAATTAGTTTCTCGTCATGATTCTCCATGCAAAAATGCCAATATATTCGCGAGATAAAATGAAAAAAAAATGGATTTTCACTTACGGTGAAAAGAAAATGCAATTAAAATGTAATTAATTTTTTTCTCTCCACACTTTTTATTTGAAATTCATATATATCTATAATAACAATTTATAGTGAATGTCAGTTGAACACATTTTTTTTAATAGTTTGATTGATGAGATTTTTGCGCGATTGTTTGAGAACACATTTGTCGTTCTTTCTTTTTTTTTTTTAATTTTACCGAAAAAGCTTTATTATCAGATAACTCACATAAAGCGACTAACGAGCATGGTGGATTAGGTTATTCATTTATCGACTGTTTGACAATTGTCCATGACCCAATTTCACATCTTGGAGAATGTACACTCTCATGGTACACTGTCGCTATGCAAAATAAACATTTAATTCTCGAATGATTTAACCAGGAATTAAATTCATGAAAATTTCTATATATCTTACGAAAGTAGCATTGCGAGGAGAAAAAAAATTGTTGTATATATACGATATAATTAAATATAGAGTGAAATATATTTATATATATATATATATATATATAGCGTGTTGTGCGTGCTTTGAAATTATAATGAAGAAAAAAAATTTTGATTTAAATTTTTTTCAAACATTTTTCTCGTTATCGTGAATTAAATAATAAAAATGTTTCTCTAATGAAAGGAAAAATACTTCTAGAAAATTTCCACTGGAGAGACAGTTGAAAGGAAATGTTTAAATTAACTCTTTGAATTTTTAATGTCAGTCAAGTTAATATTAATTATTTTTATAATAATAAAAATAATAAAAATAATAATAAAATTAATAATAATAATGATAATAATAATAATGGCAAAAATAGTAATAATACTAAAAATAATAAAAAAGGATCAATTCAATTATTTTCAAAAGTGGTAAAATTCTTCACAAAAATTCGATTATCTTCAAATTTTTTTTAAATTTTTGTAAAAATTTCAAATATCTTTAGAAATAATAAAATGCTTTTCCAAAATTCAATTATTTTAAAAAATTTTAATAAAATTCTGTAAATTTTCCGCAATTTAATGATTTTTAATATCTACTATTTTCATAAAATTTTCCAAAAGAATTCAATTATTTAAAAAAAAATTTAATAAAATTCTACATAAACTTTAAATTATTTTCAAAAAATAATAAAATCATTATTTATAATTTATTCGCAATCATTGAATTATTTTCATAAATATTAAACTTTTAACGGGGATTCAATTATTTTCATAAATAATAAAATTTTTTTTAGCAATTCAATTATTTTCATAAACAATAAAACTCATTGCAGAAATTCAATAATTTTTAATAAAATTTTAATCGAATTTCTTGAAAAAATTCTTAAAAGTTTTATCACAATTTGCCAAAAGAAATCAGTTATTTAAAAATTTATAGATAAAATTCTTTATGAGATTTGAATTTTAAGAAATACCTATGCAATTATTCAACAAATTGTTATTTTTGTTTTTAAATAATTGAATTCTAGTAGAATTTTCTCATAAACTATTTGTTTTTTTAGAATTTCCACTATACTTTAAATTTGCTAATACTAGAAATCAAAAAACTATTCTCAAAAATTATAATCAAATTCTTTAAAACAATTCAATTATTTTCAAAAAATATTCGAAATTCAATTATTTTCAAAAAAATATTCAAAATTCAATTATTTTCAATATCTATAGTAATTTCATAAAATTTCGCAAAAAAATTTAATTATTTAAAAAAAAATTGATAAATATCATCCAAAATTCAATTAT